AAATACACATACAGGCAGTCCTTGTTTAACAATGGTAATTGGGACCAGCAACTGTTGCTAAGCGATGCGGTTGTAAAGCACGATGTCATATGACCGCATCAACTTATGATGGCAGTTGTGGCAGTTCCAGTTGCCGTTGTTAAGTGAATCCTGCGTGGTCGTTAGGTGCGATGTAACGTGATTGCCATCTGCAACCTCCTGTGGAGGGAGTGCAAACATTTCCCTCCACAGCGGCAACCCTTTGAGGTAGGTTGGGCTGAGGCAAAACTGGCTCAGTGTCATCTGATGAGCTTCCACAGCTGAGGATGGACATGAGCCTATGTCTTCCTGATCCTAGCTCAACACCTTTACTACCATATCATACTGGCTCTTAAAAATTCAGGTAGGGAAATTGGAGAAGGAAGTGCTATGCATGTTTCCTTGAACTGCTGGAGAAAAACTGAGACATAAAACTAAAAAATAATTTTACTGCCAAAATATTAATCCTAGAAAATATAACTACCCTAATGCTTTTTAAAACTCAATTTAAAAAATCACTTTAAAATGTTTTGGAGATTCCCCCATTGCAAATTTTATTGTAAATATCAAGTTATTTTCCTTATTTCTTTTGTGATTTGCACTAATCAGGATCTTATTTATCCACAATTTTAAAAACTGGTGTTGTTTTAATTAGGAATTATATGATAGGACATGTTTCTGCAGTTCCGCTATCTGTTTAAGCAGGTTTTATTCACAAGACGAAACAGATGACCGAGTTCACTTACAGCACAATCCTATTTATGTATAAGAAGGCATTATTTAAACAGATTACTGCTGAATGCATAGGAGAGAGTTGCTTTATGATCATTACTTCAGCTAGTCACAAAATTTATTTGGATAGTGATCTAGGACTGTCACAAGACAAATTATTTGTGTAGAGATAGGGTGAATATTCCATGTAATATGACCAGCTTGTCCTGGATGGTAAACCTGGACTACATTATGTATCACAGTTTGTGGCTGATTTTAGAAGCGTGGTGTCATAGTGTCTTCTACAGACATAGAGACTTATTGGGCAGAGTCAATTCTGTCGCCCCAAAGTCTCTCCTTACTTTCAAAACAATCTGACAAATAATAGTTTACAAATAGCAAATAGAAACCCTTTTCAGTCAGATTTCAGGCCCAGATATGGGACGGAAACAGGACTGGTCACACTCTTGGATGATCTCTGGTGGGAGTGGGTTGGGGGTAGTGCATCCATCCTTCTTGTTCTTGACCTCTCTGTGGCTTTCGATACCGTCGACCATGATACCTTTTTGGGTCGGCTTCGGGAGTTGGGGGTGGGTGGCACAGTTTTGTGCTGGTTCACCTTCCTTCAAGGCCAGTCCCAATTGGTGTTGATAGAGAGCAAGAGGTCCAGCCTGCAGCCTCTCCTTTGTGGGGTACTGCAGGGTTCGGTACTCTCTCCGCTTCTTTTTAACATCTGCATGAAACCACTGGGTGAGGTCATCCACCACCATGGGGTGAGGTATCACCAATATGTAGATGATACGCAGTTATACATCTCCATCCCGGGTGAGGTGAGTGATGCTGTGGATGGGGTGCCACAGGCTTCAGCTGAACCCTGGTAACACAGAGTGGCTGTGGGTTGGGGGCTCCTCTGTATCCAGAAGTTTGCCATCTTTGGTTCTGGATGGGGTGGCACTACCCGAGACAAACCAGGTGCGGAATCTGGGGGTCCTTCTGGACTCACAACTCCTGCTCAAGGAGCAGGTGGCAGTCATGGCCAGGAGAGCCTTTGCTCAACTTTGTGTTGTTTGCCAGTTATGCCCTTTTCTGGATTGGGAGGCCCTCTGGTCAGTCACTCATGCCCTAGTCATCTCCTGTATAGACTATTGCAATGCACTCTACATGGGGCTACCCTTGAAGAGTATCCAGAAGCTACAGCTAATGCAAAATGCAGCCATGCAGGTAATTTTGGGTGCCCCAAGGATGGCACATGTAACACCTTTGATGAGCAAGCTGCACTGGATGCCAGTTTGCTTCTGGGTCCAATTCAAGGTGTTGGTTATTACCTTTAAAGCTGTACATGGCATGGGACCAGGCTAACTGAGGGACTGTCTCATCCCCATTACGTCAACCCGTCCCACCTGGTCAGGCAGAGAAGATACGTTGTGGACCCTGTCTATGAAGGAATGTCAACTGGCAGGGCCCAGGAGGAGAGCCTTCTCTGCCATTGCCCCCACCTGTGGAACACTCTTCCCCCAGAGGTGAGGTGGACCCCCACTCTCCTGGCTTTCTGGAAAGGGGTGAAGACTTGGCTCTGCCAACTCATGTGGGGCGAAAAGGGATATAACCAACCCTGGGGTGGCTTGCGCCTTGAAGACAGTCCCTGAGTCTAATAACTCCTAGTTAACATCAGCTTCTTCGAAAGTATTTATTATTCATATAGGAACCTTTTGTAATGTATTTTTAATTAATATTCTATTTTAGTAAATATTCTTATTTTTACTGTAAACCGTAGTTGCAGTAAAGTTGCTCTGCAGTGAGATGGGCGGTGACAAATTTGAAATATAAATAAATAAATTACATCCACCTATAAATAAATCTCTGACAATGAATGTAATGAAGTGAACTATACAAAGTATAATTAGAGGAAAAATATGCAAATACAACTTTTAAGGCCAATAAATGAGTATAGCAAGTCAATGGCTAATCAATTACATAACAGTACCCACCTACAACTATAAACTACAATTCCATTTCTGTTCACTGGGGAACAAGCCTCAGATAATTCTTATCTTTGAATAGACAACTATGGGGCTGTGCTGTAAATTTTAGTCAAGCACAATTGTTTGAAGTGGGGACTTTCAACAGAATTTGCTAGAATTTACTGCTCCTAAAAATGAATGGACAGCTCCACGTTTCACACTTGGAATTTAAACGAACTTTAGGTTCCATCCCACTTCAAGTTTTGCAGGCAGATTTTCTGTAAAGTCAGTAGGTTATACAGGTAGTCCCTAGGTTAAGGATGACCCACAGTTAAGAACGGAGCCTACTGTAGCAAAATTAGAGTTAAATGCACAGTGGTTCGAGTTAATTACATAATACTACTTATACACTTACAGCTTACGATCAAATTCAGACAGACCATGGGACCTTTTTTTCTTGTTTTCAAATTGTTGTATTGTTCTTTTTTGTTCTTTTTATATTTGTTTTGTTTGTAAGCCACCCAGAGTCATATATGAGATGGGCAGCTATATAAATTTGAAAAATAAATAACAGGCTTCTGTTCGTATCCTACCACACAGCACAGCAGTCGAGACATAAAGCATAATCTGTTCGACTTTACGAAATCCAGGATCCAGTTCAGAATGGCTACAAACATCACTGGTGCCATATTCTGCTTTAATTCAGTAACATCTTTTCTATAATTTTTTAAAACAACATTGGCCCAAAACAAATTCAGCTATAAATTGTTTTTCAAATTAGCACCAGTACCCATCTTTTTATTTCAATGAATGTATTAGGAATGCCTGACATCTTGAAATAGATTTACTAAAGACAGGATATGGAATTTATATAGTTGTGATTCATTCCAACTGAGCAGTTCACTTAATTACTAAGATTCTGAAGATTTCTTAGCAGCGTGAACGCCAGCTGGCTCTCTTATCGGATTGTGAACTGACCAAAGTGCTGAAATTATAGCTACAGAATCAGCTCACCCGAACTGCTTATGTTTTCAGTGTTCAACACAGAAGGTCTTGCATCTATTTGAAGAGGGCAAAAAGAGCTAGGGTCACATATAAATATAATATGCTGAATGTATATGACCAAGACCTCTGTGCACAAAGAAATAGTTTTTACACATATATCTTCATGGGCTTTAGCATAATATAGCATTCCTGTCTTTATACTTACAGGGGATAATACATAATCTACTTAAAAAACATATACACAACAGTAAGCCATTAATTACTTTGGTTCACACTAGCATTTATGCAGCTTTCTGAAGCACTGAAGGACTATGCAAGACTTAAAGAGTAGAAGTTACTAGAGTCAACTATGTTTCTTCAGACCAAAAAAACCCAAAAAACTAACAAGTCTGAAACCATGCAACAAAAAGCACCATATTACATCCAATATTTCTAACATTTAAATAATCCAGTGAGAGTTGCCGTAATTGGTATGTATATAACCAAGAATGGTTCAGGTCGTTCCAGGTGACAAGAAAGTAAAAATTTCCAATGCCATTGGATCTACTCATTGTAAAAGTGCATAATTGCCATTTACTGGACTTGCATTTCAAATGTTAAAAAAAATTAAACATTACTGTGTCAGGAATGCAGAGAAGAACATGTTTTTGTGACCATTAATGATGAAAAGCACTGGCCCACATATTTTTTTAACTTTCTGACTGTAATGGGCATGCTTACTCTGTGAAAAAGCTTATTACAGCCTGAGTACTGTAGAAGAGAACATTTTTCTACGACAGTGGTGCTAGGTAGAGAAACTTCCAGGACCCCCTGAAATGAGCCCAAAGTGACTACTTTTTGCTTAATAAAGCTGCCATTGGGAAAGGCTCTGAAAGGTATATGAAGATTATGCAGACTGTAACTGCTTTTTTCTAACCATGAGGGTGGTTAGGCTTACCTTTCCCAAGGGCTGATCTTCCTTGTCTGTATTAATCAGCTGCATCCTTGTAATTTAATCAATAATGCTTCAAATTGTCTACCTGTTCTAATAGGTTATTAACCTCATGCTTTGTGACTGCATCAACACAGGATTTAGGCCTTGGACACCTGGAGGCCTCTGACATTAATTGGGGGAAAACTCTTTAAACTTACTTTAGAGGTGACTTCTACCCTCAAATGTATTAGCCATCTGCTTTATTTTAAAAGCTTATTCAGCTGCCTGCAGCAATGAACAGCAAAGGGTCAAGTCTTCTAAAGACCTCTTACAAACAAACTGGCTGGGCGTTCAATTTTATCTCCTACAGTTCAGGTCAGATGGCCCATCTCCTCTGCATCTTAGCTGACTGTAGCTTGACAAGTGGCAGCATAGACCGTGCTTCCGACTGTACCTCCACTGCTAATGCTGTTGGCTGGATACTTAAGTGGCTTCATACTGTTGTCTCTTTGGATGTAAAAGTGTTCCAGTCTCCATCGTTCCCAGCTTTTCTGAAATTCTGTCCGAACCTTCCATAGGGAAACAAAAGGAAAGAGAAAGATAAATGATCTAATACTGTTGCACTATTGTTACCGAACTAAGAAATCATACAATGTCTTAGATAATTAAAACAAACAAATCAAATTAAATAACTTTATTATGGTCTTTGACCAGCCTTTAAAGTAGGAAAAGAGAAATAGTTTGGTACAGCAATTCATTATCAGAGAAAAAAAGAAAACAATAAGACAATAAAACAACATATCCAATTAAAAGTTTTGTGCAATTGTATGACTTGATACAGATATTTGGCCACCTGGTATGTGAGTGTAGAGTTAGCATCCTTGGCAAGGTTCTAAGGTAGCCTTATTATTGCTCCAAATCATCTCCGATAGGTTGCTTTACAACTGTAATAATGGCAGCAGCTTCTTCAGACTTTATAGATAAAAATATTTGTGCACAATACAGGAAACAAAATATTTACTGAACCTCTTTGCTGCAAGCAATGATCTGTTCTAGCTAAAATTGGACTGAACATGATTCTGTACAATCTGAAAGGTTTGCTTATGCTTCTTTCAAGAACTGTTTTCTGGCATTCAGTTTCTTGTATAGATAGTGTTAAAGAGCATGATTTCAATATTTAAAAAGCTTGCTTAAAGCCACCATTTTTTGCATGAAGTCTGGCTGAACCCCAGATGGACTTGCTTTAAGTAAATTTGCATAGTACTGAACTGTAAAAATAATTTACCAAATGGAAATCTGGCAATTCTATGTATACAATTTATGTATGTTGTATACATACAATTTTTACACTCTAACTTAAGGATGAGCAACCTGAAGTCCCTACAGCATGATCAGTGACAGGAACTATGAAAGTTACAGAGTAATTACTGTTGATGAATTAACCATCTATCTCAATACAATCTATACCAGGGTTTCTCAACCATAGCAACTTTAAGATGTGTGGGCTTCAACTCCCACTTAAAGTTGCTAAGGTTGAGAAACCCTGATCTATACCAACAACAATTCTGGCTTCAGAGAGGAGGACAGAGGACTGAATCTTGTGTGTGCAAAGCATGAGGCCTACCACAAGTTCTATTGTTTCTGCCCCTCCCCACCTCCAACAGAATAGTTGATCCCTCCCCAGATGATCTGAACAGTGTAAGTGAACTGAGGAAGAACATACATTTACCAAACATCTCCAGTATCTTTCAAGGAACCATTAGTATTTTTAGCTAAAACTCAGATGAGTGACTTTTAAAAAAAAAAAATTATGTAAGTTGCTTTTGAAGCTAATTAAAATTTATGGAGACTGAAGTTGTTGAAAATCAAGTTTATCTTTGTTATGTGAAAATAAAAGCTCAATCCAGATAGTATTCATTCCACTGTTTGATTGATTTTAATCAGCAAGTGAAAAGGACTATTCCAATTTACTGTCCTAGGATATGATTGAAATGTGGGTATAAGTTACTCCTCATTGCTTACAATGTTGTACATGAGAACTATTAACTATTATTTAATTATGGATAGATAATGCTTCATGAAATGGCACACTGCTTACATGGAATATGATGCTGTCTCCCCAAAGGCCTTTATGATGACAAATAATGAAGAACAAAATGCATCGATGCACTTCCATACTGCTTTCACCACATGCTTTTACAAATGAGAATATCATCTTTCCATTCCTGCTAGGTTCAGAGAAAGATTAATGTAATTTCTCCAGCCTTAATCTGTGACCGTAATTTAAGAAAGCGTATTGTTGTACAACAGTTAAAACCTAATTGTGTAAAATCTGCTCTGAGCCATTTTGCCAGGCCAACTATCTAGTGATCTGTGAATGAACTCCAAGGTGGTAATAGACAATAAATACTGCATTGGAGAAAGAAAATCAATTTCAACAACAAAACCATGAGCCATATCAGCTTTTAGGGGGAAAAAAGGGTGGGAGGAGACAGTTGGCAAAGCAAATAGTTATTTTAAAATCTGAAAAACACCACTGTGAAGTTATTATCCTAGATTCTAGAATTTAGGCTCATGTCTTTTACATGACCTTCAGTTTCATCTTGTCTCTTTTCATAATGTGGATAGTTTTGATTTTCATATATGTAGAGTGGCCTATAAAATATTGACAGGACTGTACACGTCTACACTGCTGTCATTTTTCCACACCCATAAATCAGAAACGGTTTAAAACTTGAAAGCTACAATGCTTATCCTAAAGTAGAGAAAATGTCTGAGTACAATGCTTTCCGTTATGGTACTATTTATTTATTCGCATGCCTGCAAAGGCTAGAAATGTACCCTCTAGAGGTGAGGTCGGATATCAAGCACAAAAGAGGCCTGCAAATGTGAGGATGGTTGAGCATTCCTTAAACTCATTCCTTGTAAGCAGTGGCATATGTCAACCAGGAAAGCCTATGTTAGAAGGTTGGGGCATGTAGACATTTTTATATATTAAGACATTTAGATGTTTAAAC